TGCAGGTACAGACTTGACCTTTACCTAGTGTAAAAGAAGAAGCAAGGTTGATGAAAGTGATCAGTTCACTCACTTCTGAAAATAATGGTCTTTTTTAGCTCTGTTTTTCCTGGGATGAGCAGAAGACATTGTCAATCTATTTAACCAATGGTTAACATGACAGGGTACACTATTGAGTTATGGATGCATGCAGGGGGTTGCTAAGCACAAAAGAAGCATAAGAGTTATGCGAGGCGATGGTGGAGAGCTTCTCTAGCTTCTTGAGTGCTTAACAAACCTTCCAAGTGCATCCATAACTCAATAGTGTACACTGTGGCGTTTACCATTTGTTTTATAACACATCATTGATACAATGTAGCGAAAGAGTTTTTTTTTTATTAAACAAATCTTACAGGACCAGAAAAAACAAGTGCGCACGGAAAACTAGTCTTTGCATTTGTTCACATCAGCAGTGTACACCCATGGGTAAATGATGGAGGCTGAATTGACTAATCAGAGCATGCACTTTACTTTGGTTATGTTATAATAAATACTAGCATATTCATCAGTTATTATTATAATTGCAAACTGACCTGTTAATTGTAACTTGGAAATCTGACACTGAGATGTTTGCTTTTCTTACAGGTTCCTTCAGAGGATGAATCTCTAATTCACTTTTTTGTGAATGAATGTGACAGAGATGTCAATGTTAAAGATTCTTATGGAAGTACCCCTCTTCATTATGCAGCATCTAAAAGCAGTGTAACTGCTGTAAAAGAACTGTTGAAGTGTGGTGGGATTGCTGTTGATGTAAGTTCGTCTGGAAATGTTCATGTAGATGTTTTTTGTGTTTGGTAACTCAATAGACAAGCTATTAGGGTACCCAAGAAAATGTGGAAGATGATTACATAGTGTTTAAGGTGTTGGAATTGATTAGTTTTGACACTTCAAGCCACTAGCTATCAGTGACTCATTATAGATTAGTGTGTGTATATCTTTTTCGTACCGACAGGCAAAAGATAAAAGTGGATCCACACCTCTTCATTGTGCTGCTATTAAACATAATGTAAAAATTGTAGAGGCGCTACTGAAAGCTGGATCTGATCCAAGGGCAGAGGACATTGAACGGATGACACCAATTCACTTTGCCTGCACAAATAGAAATGCAGACGTTGTTAAACTTCTATTAGAGCATGCAGATAGAAAGGAAGTTGTGCTTGACATGTTGAAGGCCAGAAACAAGGAAGGTGAAACGGCACTTCATTCAGCAGTGAAAAGTGGACACATTGATATTGTTGAAATGTGTTTGAAAAAAGGAGCAAAGGTTACAGAAAGACGACGTAACCTTGCACAGCCATTACACATTGCTGCCATCTATGGATATGTCGATATTGCAAAATTATTGGTTGATCATGAGGCCAACATTAAAGCAAGGAATGTGAACCATGAAATGCCATTACACAAAGCTGCTGCATTTAATAAGATTGCTATGGTGGATTTTCTCCTTGAAAAGTAAGATTTAAAGAAAGGTTAACTGATTAACAATACAGGTCGTGTTTCAAATTTCCTCTCCTGTTTATGGGTAATTTTGATTTTGCTGTGTCTCAGATCTACTACCATTACCTGTGACAAGGAAAAGAAGTTTTATTAGCTAAACTTAAAGTTTTAAACCAAAGAAAAATTTTATCTCCAAACATCCATTAATTTTCCCTGACTATAATCCCCTAGACTCGTTTATCAACACAGTAATTAAAACTGGGTCATTTTAGGGCATTTTAGAGTTCTGGTTGGCTTATAACTGCATTAAAGGGTCACTTGTCATTAATGGCACAATATATATAAGCCACGATTCCAGTCCAGTTTGATATACATCCTTGCATGTGGCAGGAATTCAAGATACCCGATGCTTATTATCGGACTTGCAATAGTAGCTTGTCATGGAAATGGCTTTGAATTGAAGTTAGTGAGAAGTTCAAGTAACATTAGGTCAAGTTGAGAAGGTCTGGCAGTGTATTTAATTAGGTATCATTGGGAGAGAAAAGTAGATGGAGATAAAGGTGACAAGGCAGTACCCAAAAGCTTGAAATACTTGGCAGGGGTAAGATACCATGTAATTTCAACACCTAGTACAGAAGGCAGATTTTTGCTGTGTCAGAGTTTGAGGCTGAGTACACGTACAATCTGAGACCCGTGTCTGCTGGACATTTTATAGCTTTGATTATTTTCTAATTGCACTCGGTTGAAATTATTTTGAACTTTTCCTGAACTAGAAAGCATTTAGAAACCCAACTTTAATGAGAACAAATTATTTAAATATCTATCTTGGTACAGAGGAGCTGATATTGATTGCCTTGACAAGGATAAGTACACCCCGCTTCTAGTTGCTGCATCAGGAGGTCATACAGATGTCGTGTCAAAACTCTTAATCAGAGGTGCAGACTTACAAGTAAAGAACGTTCATGATAAAACTGCAATATTTTTGGCAGCTGAAGGAAAGAGAGTTGACACTCTAAAGGTATGTTCCATGCATTTTACCGCAAGTGCTTATGTGTAGCTTATGTTAACTTCTATTTCTTTGTAAATAATTTGCTGTTTAACTCAGAGAATCATGCAACACCAGGATTATTTGGGGATTGGAGTGTTTATCGTGACAAAATGCCAGTATAGATCAGGACATGTAGGTGAACTGCATGCAAAACCATTATTCAAACAGCTGCTTTAGATGTACCGTTACCGACCATCGAACATTATCAGGCATGATGTTACTGAACTGTTAGGATTAAGGTAAACATAAAGAATCCGAAACCACCAACGCGTCGGCCAAAGCGTTGGGTAAGTAAGGAAGGTTTGGTAAGGTGAGGTAAGCGTTGGCCGACGCGTTGTTGGAATCGGACTCTACTTTTATACCTTATGGTCTATAGCCTTGAACTTTTCATTTGTCACAAGTAGTATACGGAGCCTTTCTGGTCACTCCGTAGAGGTCTGGGTCCGAGTGTCTCGGTCGAGTGAGGTCTAATTAGTTATTCATACCGCGTAGGTGCGCGAGGGTGATTTTTAGGGTTAAATCCGCGAAGGTGTACGAGGGGTTTTTAGGGTTAGGGTTAAATCAGTATAGGTGCAAGAGGGGTTTTTTTGGGTTAGGGTTTCAGTTTCTAAAAAGTAACGTCCAATTAGTTATTCATACCGCGTCGGTGCGCGAGGGTGATTTTTAGGGTTAAATCCGCTATGTGCACGAGGGGTTTTTAGGGTTAGGGTTTCAGTTTTTGAAAAGTAACGGTACAAAAAGTACAAAATGCAGAAATATAAAACTGAGAGGCGGCTAAAGCGAACGCGCTGAACATAATAACTAGGAACTTACATTGTATCGGCGCTGTAGGCCGCGAAAAAAGGGCAACTAATCCAGATGTTCTCTCGGTGAAATCAACGATGAAACTAAAAAGCTAGAATATTACAACATGTAAATTATAGCGAACGCAGGAAAGAAAAACAAAACGTATTCCCGAGGGAATGCTAATAAACTGAAATGGAATGCAAAGAATGCTAAATTCTACAAATGTATTTAGTCACTTGTCTGCGTATTTCACAAAGATCTTGCGTGGTAGCTTTTTCTTTTACAATGGCGAACAATTCGTCTAGTATGGCTCCGGCCCATTGAGGGTTCTGTTAAATTTCTTCGTCCAAATGAGCTAGAAACAAGTCTTTCGTAGAAGCCATTTCTTTGTCTAAAAGTGGAGGAGAAAACCGCCGGCTGTTTGGATGAGACCATAGATTGAACAGGTACACTTGTCTGAAAAATGAAATGTTTGTAAAATGTAAGATCATTTTATACATAAATGTGTTTGAACGTAAACGTCTGTCTATTATTGATTGATAAGCTGTCATAAAACATAGCGTATATAAATCTATCGTTTCGTACTCACTTGCTTCAGAGTAGTTATGCCTTCCTTTGAAGACTTTACATGCGAATGCGGTCAATGCGATACTTGTATATTGATTGACGAGATAGAGAAAGAAGCGTGGCACAGTGTAGAAATTAGAAGATTGAGAGCAGTCTATATGCGAAAGTGGATACATGAAATTACCGACAAGACTGCTTTACTTAAATTGGTTGATGCCTAAACAGGTCAGTTGGGGTAAAGGAATTGATTATAAACCTACGGAAATATGGTATCAATGTACATTTTGTCGGTATTATACACATTACTACTGAAGTTATTGTCCGAGATGTCAATTCCTTTTACGGCGTCTCGTCAACGAACGGCCGATGGATATTCCATAAAAAACAAGAGGAATAGAATATTTGTCATCATTGGTAGCGAGTACGGTAAAGCAAACCCATCATGAGCGACGTGAGAATTTTGAACGATTGTGAATTACTGTACCAGAACAAGTATCTATTCGATTTGTGTGCGCCTAAAAAAGTGTGTGGGCCCCGAGAAGTCATACGTAGCATTTTAGGATATGTAAACGTTCCCATGTGCCAAAAGAGACGCCACGAAATCATTTCTACATCGTGCCATTACATGGAGGTGTATTATTCCCTTCGATATTTACAAGCTGTGTTTGAGAAGAAATTACCGGTTCTCGAGATGAACGACCCGGCCTCCAAGTATAGATTCATGAATGCCTGCGAGGAATTATTTGACGAGACGGTCAGAGAAGTCAACGAATGGCCAAACCCAATAGGAGGTCACATGCAGCTTTATTTGTTTAAGCTTTGGGAAGCGTTCGAAAAGCTGGGTGAGCGTTTAAAGTCGAATAATTTTTTCGTCAACGACGTGACAGAGGTGTTTGCGTCGTTTCGTAATCCCATGTTAAGCCATTCAGATGTAAAGTAATTGTCTGTAGTGCCACGCCAGAAAATTAAACAGTGTAGACGCGTGCTGAAAAAAATTATAAAGAAAATGGATAAAAGGGAATGAATTTCACACCCCCGACAATCAGAATTACGTCGGACCACTCCCTGCAGCGGAATACTATGACCTCGAGGGAATTTCAGAAAAAAAGAAAAATGAATTTGAGACCTGGTACGTAGAAGAACAAAACAAGAACCTCACATTCGACCTGAAGAAATAATTGGTAGCGTATTGCCGCTCCGACGTGAAATTGCTGAAAGCTGGTTGCCTCAAACTCATAGACGAGTTTAAGACCATAGCTAAATTCGACCCCATGGAGAAATGCGTGACGATCACTCAAGCCTGCAACAGGTAACAAAAATATTTATAATATATGTTATATAATGTCGTCCTTTTTTTTAAAAAGGTATGTATTCTTTTGATAGGTATTGGAGGAAATGTGTCATCTCCCCTGATTCTATTGCCATTGAACGGGAAAACGGTTGGGAAGGTGCCACACCCAATCATTCCCACGTGGCCTTAGAATGGTTGCTCTGGACCGAGAGAAACCTGGGGACGAGAATACAGCATGCGAGAAACGGTGGAGAATACAGCATTCCTCACGGTTCCAGAGTCTATAGTGTAGACGGATACGATGCACAAACTCGTACCGTCTACGAATTCCATGGCTGTCTATTCCACGGCTGCAGAGAGTGTTTCCCGCAAAGAAACCAGATTCCCTTCTCTTCCGCTGGTCTCACGATAGAAGCGTGCCGACGTCAGACGACGCAGAAAACTGTCACATTACAAAGATTGGGGTATACCGTCGTTGAAATGTGGCAGTGTCAATGGGAAAAGCTTAAGAAATCATCTCCAGACCTCCGCAACTTTACTCAGTCTCTCTCTTTAACCACACCCCTCCATCCGCGTGAAGCCTTCTTTGGTGGACGAACTGGTGCGACCATACTTTATCACCGCATAGATCCCACCCAAGGAGAGCAGATCCGGTACGTGGACGTCACTTCCTAATACCCGTGGGTAAATAAATATGGTGAATACCCCGTCGGACATCCTACCATTTACTTGAGCCTGACAACCAAGATCCTTACGCCAACTATGGCCTCATGAAAGTCGACATTCTTCCTGCAACTCATCTTTTCAAACCCGTACTGCCTCATCGCTAGGGTATAATGGGTGGTGTATTTAAATATCTAGATGATATCACTCAGTAAAAAGCGATGCGTGTCACTTGTCGAATTATCTTTCCAGGGAATGTCGTACCAATAATACGAATGATTGAGATTATCTAGCGTTCTATCGTAGCTCCACCGTGTACCGCGCTTCGTCATAGGGAGATTAGGCCCAGGACGTGTCACGTTATAATCATCTTGTAGCTTTCCGTGAAAGTCTGTGTATTGGATATGCGATTTTTCCGTCCACCCAGCCAACTTGCAGAGCTGTCGGGGTAACTCGAAATATACGTCATCACGGATTCGTGAATCTCTTACATGGTTCGGATCTATGCGTTCACCGGACACTGTGACGGTACCTTTCTCTCGATCACAATGTACGTCGAATTGAACTGTTTTGTTATTCGAAAAATGACTACCCCACGTGGCTCTCATACTCAATATAAATTTCATTCGTTCTTCCTGAAAGACTTCTAAGAGATCGTAGGGGATATCTAATGTATACCTTTTGATGTCAGCATAGGTGACATTTTGCGGACTTATTAGAAAGCGAAGCGACTCGTAGTGAGAAGTACATTGTTGTCGTTTAAACCTTTCAACTAGGGTTCCCAACGGTTTTTGAGCGTGGGTTCATACTCGATAATCCCACTACCCAGTTCCCCTGTAAATCGATGCGTGAATTCAGTTGATTTTTCCGAGAATTATTGGTGTTTCCAGGAAAATATTTGACGCTTCCATCGTTACTGGGAAGGGTCAAATAAAGTCTTCCATCGTCACTCCAATAAAGACACACACAAACGATACCTTTTCAACACGCTTCATTGCTTTTAATTACAATCCAGCTTTTACTTTCGCTTGCATGATACGTTTTACGATGCGCTCGGTCATGGTGTTTTTATCGAATCGTTGAATACCGGTAATCATTTTACTATCGGCCTTGTGTTTATCGGGTAAATTTTTAGTTTTACTATAATCGATATCGTGTTGTTTAGCTAACTTATCGAGACGATTAAACCTGGATCCCCGCGTTTAAGACGCATGGCTAATTTGGTACCCTGTTCCATATACTGATAGCCAGCCAATGAAATTCTACACCCAGTTTATTAATCCATTTTTGAAGATCGATTTTTCCTCCAGATTTCCTTCTCCGTTTACTTCTTGCCCATCCCTTTCCCTTTGCCCTTCCCTTTCGGCGCTTTGTATCCGGCATGCTGTACGGTTTTGACTGATCCCAACCTCTCTTGTCCCACGGGTCCCACACCTGTTCGATCCTACTCTTTTTTTCAACGGTTTTATGAGCGCTATGTCCCGCCGACTTAGATGCACCTAGAGAAGTCGAAGGTAGTAACCGTTTTCCTTGTAAGAATAGGTGTACAAGGTAAGTCTTGAAGACTCGTAGACCCATAGGGGAATCTAATGGGTTTTTTGTGTGTGGCACTGCTACCCGATGTAGCAAATAAAATCTTTTTCTTCGAAGTCGATGGTGTGACTGCTTCCTCTTTTACTATGGCAGCGGGCTCTTTGACTGTTTTGACCGACCGAATCAGATCTTTTAGTAGGTTCTCTTGCACAGAATCTAATAGATTTCCCTGCTCTCCGTCTTCGCTCGTCTCAGGTCCTGCGCCTGCGAGTAATTGTCTCAACTGATCGGTTAATTGTCGTTCTTGCATTAATAATTGTTTTATCATGGGTGTGTGGATCGCTCAGTAACATCTGAGTTTCGCCTGCGACTCGTGCGGCTTTATCTAACAAGGTACTTTCTGATATTTTACCCTTATAAAAATCCACCAGCGCTTGAAATTCTTGCGGGTTCACGATNTCCGAGAAGACTAGAATATCTAACCATTTCTTGATGTTCTAGAAAGGTAGCAAATTCTTCTCAATTATTTTAAGACACTGAGTGTTGGTCCGGCCAGGGCTCGCACCCTCGACCTCCCGCACAACAGTCCAGCGCTCTATCCATTGAGCTAACCGGGAGGCGGTTAAAAAACCACTCGTGACCCTGTCTGCGACATCGGTCGTAGTAGGTACTGTATTCCTTCAAACTGGTAAACACGGGACAATTGTCGACGGGACAGGTGAGGTAGACGTCTTGTACCCATTCTTTCTGTGAATGCACTTCATTCGTCCCCACGTTATGAATGGGGCAAGGGTAGCAGACTCCTACATTGGCCAGTAAATCCTCAGGAGTATCGTATTGAAAATTACCTGCTTCAGATATCTCGCCTTCTTCCATGACATTCACTTTCAATGGTGGTGAATCTTGTGGCTGACTCTGGGGAACCTCTTGCACATACTCGGGGTTAATCAATTCCACCAAATTAGCGAGCTGACTCAACGGCTCCTCTGTTGTCATCTCAGGGTTTGGGATTTCTGAGGGATACACCACTGTAACAGGGGCCTGCATGACAGGTGCATGAGAATTCAAATCCAAGGAAAGGTTTTTGACATTTTTCTTCTTGGCCCAGTTTTTCTTGGGCTCTTCATTCTTAGAATGCACTCCGTCTATCTGGATGGGACCGGGATGATTCTTCCTCCATTCTTTCTTGAACTCTGGTATTCCTTCTTTCTTGACTTTGGGTACAACTTCTTTTTTACCGTAGGGATGATTTCTCCTGCCTTTGACTCCTTTGGTAGGTTTCTTCATTGGTGTCTCCATCATGCACATCTGAGCTGCTGCTGCTTCTAGACTATGTAAAGTGGTGAAACCGTTCAAGTATTATACACTCGAGAACAATATCCCCTACTTTGATTGACAACCATTGTTTTTACAAGCGATGCTAACTTTTTTAGGACGCGACGCCAACAAAAAAGGACGCGACGCCAACTTTTTAGGACGCGACGCCAACTAAAAAGGACGCTACCTAACAGGGACGCGACGCTATCTAAAAGAGACGCGACGCTATCCATTGTCCGAAGTTTCCTATATATCGACTGATACTGACATGACACATGTATCATTCACCATGAATCCTAGTTTAGAAACGAACCCTAAATTTGGTGTATTAGCCATGGACGAACTCTTGGATACCATGGAGTTTCACTCTGACGAGGATTCCTTGAGAAGAGTGATTCGAGATGCAGAAAAGTACTGAATCGACTTTGCACCCGACGAGAACGATTAAGATAGAAGAACCTGGGAATTACGCAGTAAGGTGATGCGAGCATTCTTGGACTTTGTACGATACCATCACGATGGTACAATATCCTCTTATAAGAAACGTCTACTGTTCACGGATCAAGAAACGACGCCTACAAAGTGATTGACAGCTAGCTCCTAAAAAACACTACTGTTTCCTACACTTTTTTACCATTTGATACCTAGACTGCACACGAGACAGAACGATGCCTTCCTCCATTCATACTCGCCCTTGGTCTGCAGCTTTTGAAATCGTTTGTATGCTTTACGATTTGAGAATAGATGCTTCTACAGGAGATTTAGACTACAACTTAAATACCATGAAAGACTTGGCAAGCACACTACACCAGAAATAAAACAAGCTCAACCTGAAGTGTTTGACGCTCTCACAAATTACCTTCGAGTGATTAAAGATTCAGCCAAACCGCTGGGAGTGACCAAAGACTTGGAAGAATACCCGGCCCATGCCTGTGTGGTTCTAGACGAAGTCCTGTCTTGCGTAGATGAACGAGCCAAGATGGATGATTTGGAAAAAATCAAATCTCGCATCCATCATTCCATTCTGTGTGATTCTTACGGTATCGGTGAAGACGAGAAACAATTCAACAAAGTCTACAACGGCGTGATGACGGCTTTTCTTGGAATTTGTTCGTTATTGTAAAGATAAACCTCTCCCCCGAGATTCATGCGACTGCAGTATTGAGTACAACACTTCTGATGACGAGCAAGACCGGTGAGTGACGCCTGTCAACTCTACAATAAAATACTACACTCACAGAACCATCTATCATTTCAGAACAGGTAGACCTTACTTCAACATGTTTGAACATTTGGACGACAACCCTAAATGTGTGGAGTTGCTTTAGATGACTTACTACGCATCGTAGAGGAAAATGCAGACTATGATGACTACTGTCGAATGCAATGGCATGTCAACAACTACATACAAGCCTACGAACCTACACAAGTAGAAAACGATGACGATAACTTGTTTAAACTGTACGCAGATGTCATGAAAGCTTTTTCGCTTACACACAGCATTGTGAACAGCTATACAGAACAAATTTGGCAGACGAACAAAGCAGCGACAACGATGAAGTGTTTGTGACACCCGAAAAGAAAGAAGACAAACCTGAACCTTTTCCTGAACATTTAATTGCTATTATGAACTCTTAAATGCACCTTGTATGTAAGCTCGTAGCGAGACAATAAGCCTTGTTATCACCTAATGTTGTGTGTATTCCTTGTACATGCGCAATTTACTCCAAACTGTACGACGTGCGTGCGACAACCATTTGGGATTCTTATGAATACCTCTTTTGCTTCCAGTCTTATTCGGTTAGAAATCTAACCCGCGATACCCAAACGCGTAATATAGGGTCCATTCACTTTTTACTTAATCCCTCCGCCATCTTGGATTCCTTTGTTTCCTTTGTACCGTTATTTTTTTAAAAGTATAACCCTACTCACGAACCTACGCGAAATCTAACCCTAAAAATCCCCACAGTGATTTAACCCTAACCCTAAAAATCGCCCTCGCGCACCTACGCGGTATGAATAACTAATCAGATCTTACTCGGCTGAGCCACTCGGACCCAGACCTCTCGGATTGTTCCATAAAGGCCCCGTATACTACTGTCATAAAATGATGAATTTTTTCTCATTCTCGCCTCTCCTCCACTTAACATTTTTTGTTTACTGTTTTAAAAAGAAACCACGCTAGCCTTCAGAATTCTGCAGTTGATTGAATGATTTCTCAAATGTTTGACAGGTGATCCTTGAGAACGAAAAGGCCAAATATTTGATCAATGAGAGTGATCGTGATGAAAACACTCCACTCCATGTTGCTGCTCAGAATGGCTATGCCTCTGTTGTTCAGGTGAGGTTGAGATTAGTGAGTAGCAAAACACTGACTGATATTTGCTTTCATTTTGGATTGAGTAGTTTATCACTTTCTCACCGTATTCTAGGAAGTAGTTGTAAAACTCCTCTTTTTTACACTTTCTAGTTTCTAGCAATTCAGCTTTATTTATTCCAGACCACACATGTGTAAGTAAGAGTACAATATGTTCCTAGTTAGGTAATCAAGCAGGGATACAGGTATTTAACTGCAACTCTGATTTTTATGTTCTTTAAAAAATTTTCATGGTGACCCTTCACAACACTGAATAGGTATTGTTGGATTATAAAGCAAAGATAAATGCAAGGAATGAAGATCAAGACACCCCTTTACATCTGGCCGCAAAACATGGAAAAGTAAGGTATACACACAGTAATTTACCTACTAATTGACAGATAAAATTTGTTCGATTAGCGGTCTTTAATAAGATTGTATTTCTTTGGAATAACTTACTTTATTATGGGTATAAATTTTAATTATAATGATCTTTCTTCTCCCAGGACTGTTCTCGAGCTTGTTAAGAGAGATATTACCATTATAAATGATGAAGATGAAGCCTCAAACACACCCCTTCACTTGGCGGCTATAGAAGGTCACATAGAATGCTGCAGGGCTCTGTTAGAAAAAGGAGCTGAAGTGGATGCAAGGTGTGTGGAATACCTTGGATTCAGAGGTTACCAGTCGTTTCATGCCCAAGGTCGCTTACGCTAAGCAAGTATTCATGTGCTTATGCCTAAGAATGGCAGAGTAGAATTTTACTTGTATCATACTTGCTTGCCTCTATCAGCTCGTCGCACGAAACAATCGACATTTGTTCATTCACTCACGCGTGACGTCATTCAAATGAATGACCATGGGGACGGTTATGAATCGACCAGCAGTTCGGGCACCAAACGATTCAAACTGCGTTTCGCCTAACTCCTCCTTGGCTGTTGATGAGGGAATTTACAGTAATTAAGGGACAAATCCTTATTTATGTAGAAGAGGGTGGGGAGTCCAGGGTCTTTTTCGTAGTAAGAGTGTGGGCTTTTTTTTTTTAACTACAAATAAGGAGAACCTCATTTTTAATTTTGGTACATTGGATCATTCATAGACCGTCTGGTTGAACGTAACGATGAAAATGACTACTTTACTTGGGCATAAATCCAAGTTTGAGGGGAGGGGAGAGATTTGAAAAGCTGGGAGTTATTTGATATAAGGCTATAACTTACTAAGTTAGGGTACTCGTGAACTCCCCTTGTGCATCAAGTCGATGTCATTTATTTTAAACTTCGTGTGAAGCCGATTTACTGGTTGTACTATCAGTTGTCATTAGTTTCTCTCAAACTTTTAACCCATCCAGATTGACTTATGCGCTCATTATGGGCGTGGTATGAGCAGTTTTGATCTCTAAGCTTATTCGGACTGAGGGAAACGCTTAAAGTTCACCTCTACTAAAACATGTTTTTGTACTCGCTAATTATGATCAGAGAGTTCAAGTACTCATTAAGACTAACAACTCAGTAAGAGTTGTTCCACGCTCGCCAATTATGGTCAGCGAGTTGAAGCACCCAGAAAGATGACAACTCATTAAGAAATGTTCCACGCTCGCTAATTATGTTCAAAGAGCTGAAGTACTCATTAAGACTGACAACTCAGTAAGACTTGTTCCCGCGCCTTCTTTCTGATAAACTTGCCTCAAACTGGAATGACAGCAATTTTAAAACAATTTTTTTTTTTGGAAAGACTTTATAGGTATCTTAACAGCTTAAAATGCGAGAAATTAATCCGGAATACTAAAAATGAGGCTGAAACCTTTGATTTGCATCTTAAAGCAAGGTGACCAAAGAGCCTTTCGCTTTTTATTCTGTTGTTGCCTTCACCCTCCCACCCCACCCCTCCCCCTCTCTTATCTCTTCATTTCCCTGCCATACTGCGCCTTTTATTCACTGAACATGGTCGCATAACAACACTTTTATGCTACAGGAACTCCACATTATGGACGCCCCTGGACTGTGCAGCAGCTAAGGGTCACTTAAAAGTAGCAAAAATCCTGTTGGACTTTGACTCACCTGTCGATCCTATTGATAAGACTAAGGTAAAGTAGCAAACATCCTGTTGGACTTTGACTCACCTGTCGATCCTATTGATAAGACTAAGGTAAAGTAGCAAACATCCTGTTGGACTTTGACTCACCTGTTGATCCTATTGATAAGACTAAGGTGAAAGAGAATGTTATAAATATAAAAACATTCTTGCTAAACATTATTCTATTTGTAAAATACAAGGAAAGTTTAGTTTACTAATTCAACAGGTTGTTGATGTATTACACGGGTTAAGTATAAGTCTTGATTGTTGAACAAACTCTCCTTGCCAGCAGCGTAGGAAATGTAAAGAGGAAAGTGACTGGAGGAGAAAAGTGAAGAAAACTGTTTGGAGAGCAGTATAGAGAATGCTTATACTGATGTTAGGGTGTAAACGGTTGAACCAATCAAAATAATTATGGTTTTCTTAAGGAAAACAGAGACCTTATTGGAACGAGACGTAGACGTTCAGCACTCCTTGAGTAAAATGGCCACTTACGAATCTCTCTTTACCGTGTTAGTGAAGTTTACTTGTTATGTGACTCTCCTCTCTTGTACAGACCACACCTTTACATTTAGCAGCAAAAGAGGGCCATACCGATATGGTGACACTCCTGTTGTCCGAAGGTGCTGACATTACACTAAGAGACCACAGCGGAAGAAACTGCCTTGACTTAGCAGCAGATCGCAGCCGCAAGTGAGAATCGAGATTTTCATAAAAAATATAAATCTAAGTGCATACGGAATTCATGGCTATTGCTGGAAATGCAGTGCTTCTGTAGTTTTGTTAATGCGAATGTACTTGTTTCCATGTGTTCTACAGGGAAACAGCCATGGCCATTGTCAACGATGAAAATTGGATGTCTGTCCTAAAGAACAAATCATGGGAACAGAATCGCGTCACCACCCCATTGAGAAAACTGATCGTCAAACTTCCTTGTATGTTGACTCTTAATCTTCTTACAACCTTGGATAAATCTCAGTATCCGAGCAACTCCGCCCCCACTCTTCCCTAACCCAAAATTAACCTTAACTTGTTATCAATTGACTGTTTTTGGGTTAGGGGACGGGTAGGTATGCAGTTGTTCAGAAACTAACTTTGATTCAACATCTCTAAACAGGGTGTGAACAATTAACGAATCAAAGGACTTTCTAAAGTCTTGAATTCTCATTCTTTGCGTTCGGTTCGGTTCGGGATTTTCAAACCTTTCTGAGCACACTGAGAGGCTCTTAGGTCGTGAAACTGATGGGATGTGCGACTTAATTGCAGCGCTAAGTTAATCATGCCATATGTGATTTGGTAATCCTATAGGCTTGCAGATTGTCTCTGACTATGAGCCCCCAAAATTTGATTTGTCTTCTTTTGCGAGTTAAAATAGTGATGAAACGTCCAAAAAGTTCTGAAATTTCCCTTTCTACTCTCAGCTGTGGCAGAAGCAGTCTTCAACCGTTGTGTCAAAGAAAGTGGCCACCATGTCGAAGACAAAAAGTATGAGGTAACATTTGACTATGAGTTCTTGGAAGATATTTACGTTGACTGGTCAGATGGAGGCGATGCAGGTTCGGAGACGTTCAGTGTAGCGAGCTTCTCAATGGAAGACGTCACAGGGGATGAAGAGTTTAGGAAGATTCAAGGGTCAGCTGAAGTGGCTGAGGCTGTCACTCAGTTGGAGAAGAAGGAGAGTCACCCTCTTATTATCATGGTAAAATACGTCTTGCTGTGTTGTTTGAAATGAATTATTTGTCTTCCTTTAGTAAAGTGTGATGAAAGCTTACTGTCATAGGTTGCATAGATTACATAGGTTAGTTGACCAGTCCCCATGGGGGCTTTTGAGGGCCAATTCCCACCCCAGGGGAGGACATCCACGACACAGTAATCTCGTGCGTGGGAAGTAAGGTCTCCTACCCCTAACCCTGCAGGAGACGGGGCCTACGGTTTATTCGGCCTTATCCGAGAAGTCTAGAATATCTATCCATTTCTTGATTATAGAAAGGAAGCAAATTTTCCTCACTTATTTTAAGATCACGAGTATTGATCCGGCCGGGGCTCGAACCCTCGACCTCCCGCACAACAATCCGGCGCTCTAACCAATTGAGCTAACCGGGAGGCGGTTGAGTTGGAGAGGAAGGGACAGGGATTCATCCAGGAGGGGGAGGAAGAGTAGCAAACGAGAAAGAATATTTGTTCCCCTTGCGGCGATGTTGATAATACCTAGTTTAGCTTAAGATTTAGCTTTATCGTTGTGTGCATGGAACAGTGAAAAAGAAAGGTGGGGTTTAAAGGGAGGAAGGATTGATGCAAAGATGCAAACATTCCTCATCCCTTCAATGGATAAGGAATGGAGGGAAGAAAGGAGAGATACATAAGTCGACGGGATTGATGAATGGATGTATAGATGGAGGGAAAAAGGAAGAAAACGAGCAAATATGAGGGATGCAGGGAGACTGAGAAAGACGGAAAGAGGGATGGGGAGGAAGGAGGAAAGAGAAGGTTTTTTCTCCTTTTTTGTTTTTTTTTCCTTTTGATCAATCTGATGACCATAAATTGTTAATTGGAGGTGAACAACAAACGTGAACAGTTGTTAGGCCATCCTCTTATCGCGTTTCTGTTGGATTACAAATGGATGAAGTTTGGCAGGTACATTTATTACTCCAAACTGGCCTTCTATTGCTTGTTCCTGTTGTTTTTGACTGGTTACACTGTTTACTCGACTGAGCATGGCCCAGTTTGTGCCAATGAAACTGTGGTCAACAAAGGAACCGCGGACGAGAGCTCTGTTCCCTACATCTTTTGGATAAGCCTCGGGCGTATTGTGATACTGGCGCTTGCATCGGCACATATTCTTTCAGAGGTAGAATACTTGTTACTGGTTGTTCTAAGCAGTATTTGTAGGATTTGACAAATGTATATTGAAGTAAGCAAATTGATAAATAGAATGGAAATTTGAGATTTTTTCCTCCTCTCCTGTTCTTCTCCAGTTGTAATTTGAGGTCCTTCTCGCGTCAAGCTGTGTCTAATTGTTTAGCTAAAATCGGTTTCTTTTTGATAAGTGGCATATTCCTTGCATGAAAGTTAAGAAAGCTAGGATTTTTTTATTTAGTCTTAAAGCGCAACGACTTAGGAAGTGAAGTGACTCTTCTACAATTTGTAGTCAAACGTAAGTTTTAGGTAAAGGACCAATCATTATTTACAGCCGGGGGGGAGGTTTAGTTGTGTCATGATGATATTTAGCTAATCCCCCCTATGGTTTTGTAGTATTCTTATGATGCTCTTCATTAGCATTTAATGACAGTCTATTTTTCCAGCGGCGAGGACTGACTCCCCTGAAAACTTTGTGAGCCCCCATAATCCACCGCCCTCCCACTTCCAAGAGATAAATAATGACTTGTCTCCAAACCATCGAAAAGGGGCCTCTCATGTGAAATCTCTTAGTTTTTTGCTGTTGTTTTCGTTGTTGTTTTCTTCCCTTTCTCTCTCTTTTAATTCGATATTCGCAGCTATTGCAGTTGTTCCAACTAGTGTATCAGCGCAGACAGTATTTCTCTTGGGGGAATCTTCTGGAGTGCAGTTTGTACGGATTCGCCATTGCTTTCGTGGCTGATGAGTTTGATGTGGAAGCGGTCAGTAGGGACGTGTCAGAGATAATCCTAAGGGTTGTTTGAAGTTCTCAGCATCGCTTGTTTATATCGTCCACACGTTAAAACCCTGTTGTATTTTGTTCGGGAGCAAGTTTTGATTTTATGCTGTAAAATTGTAATTCAAGTGTTTTAGAAAGTCTACATGCTTAATGCTCACCCCATGCCCCCCAATTTTTTACTCTACATGTTTAATACAATACTCGCCCCCCCCTCTCCCCGCCTCCCCTCCCCCTAAATCCTTGACTAAATGTGCTTAAAATTAGCCAGTTTCTTTGATTCACTTTGCAGTTGTTCGACGGCGAAAAAAACCATCGGAGCCTTATCAATCTTTCTAGCTTGGATGGGTTTGGTGTTATTCATCAGAAAGTTTCCAAAACTTGGTATTTACGTGGTGATGTTTACAAGCGTTCTCTACACGTTCACGAAATTCTTCTTGATTTATGTGCTGTTCCTCGTCGCCTTTGCGCTTTCGTTTGTCACGCTGTTCAGTGATCCTAAGGTGAGCTGGATCACTTTCTCTGCTTCCAAATATAGACAGATACATACCTTAAGGCGTTGGAGTGGGTTATTTTACGGTGACAACTTTAATTTTCCAAAACAGCGGTTGAAATTTTAGCACGCTCATCAATTGTCTCTCAAACAATTTTCCGGGGGCGATTTTCGGAAAGTTCCGTCTTTGATGTACGGTCAAATCCTACATTGAACGGCTCGTGCTTTTTTCGAACGGTTTCCAAAGTTTGCAGTTCAAGCTGCTTCGCTAGTCCTGCAATAACCAGAGAGACCCCGATCTAAACCTGGTTTTTCTTTCATCCATCGATGGACCTTATGTGGTTAACAATTTCGTCGATGATGAGCCTGCGAGAATTTCTACAGTTACGGTGAAAATAAGAAAAAATTCCTTGTGCTTTATATGGTCAACTGTGTAGCCCCCAGCCACCTCCACGGTCTGTTTACTTTATTGTTTCTATTGTTTATCAGGAACAGTTTGGAGAAATAGCTGAGAAGCTCTCACGTCACACATTATTAATGAGTTCTAACATAGGCTTTTTTTCTTTCCTCTTCGTTATTTTTTATTTTGTTTATACCGAGCTGCGGCAAGGTCCGTCAAAAGTACCTAAGAGACGTAAAATAGAATGCGCGGGTTTAAGGTTCTAATGGCGCAATGAAGGAGAATGTACTGATCTTTTAATTTTATAGAAATAAATATCTTTTTTTAAAAAAGGCATTAGACGTGTTTCCAAACATTCTTGGTTTTTACCGCGCAAATCTGTCTTTGAGAGGCTAAACTAAGAGGGATTATGTCTGGACTAAAATCCATTTCTAAAGGAATCCGCGAGATCCCACCTCACTCAAACAAGGCCACGTCGTAAAAATGGCCCTGTTCCTTCATCTTTCATAACGATTCAATAAACTATTAAAGTTACTCACACAAATTATCCCTCTCACAGCAAAGCGTACGTGCGTTTGGAGAGCCCGGCCGTGCTATCGTGAAGACAGCAATGATGATGATTGGAGAGTTCGAATTCGATGACTTATTTAACTCGCCAGATTCGAACGTTCCTGATGTCTCGTGGTTCATTTTTATTGTCTTTTTGATTATCATGACTCTCATCTTGATGAACTTGTTGGTGAGTTTCCTTGTTTTTAACCGCCTTTTCTCTGACTTCTATCTATATTCAGAGCTTGCTTTAGAGGCCCTTTCTCCATCAGTGGGAAACTAAATTACATGCAAAACCCTTTTTTATTTTCACCCATTATAGCCTGTGTAGCACGCGTTCGATTTCACCTGGCCTGCACGGGCGCAAGAGCAAGAGAGAGCTTTCTTGAGCGGGCTTATTATTTTCACGCAAAGTATGATGCTCTTTAGACTGAATCAGCCTTCTGTAAAGCCTGAGTATCTGCGTTATACGCTAAGGAAGGTATTCATCAACTTTAAGTTAAATGTGACGTTTGTTCCCATAACTTCGCAATTTTGTCTTGCTGCGTAATGTGTAAGTACAGATACAGATACAGATATAGTTTAATTTTATGCACTATTTACAAAATTTATAACATCAACAGTGTATACAAAAGGAAAAAAATTTCCATCAATTAAGGAGAAAAAAATATTACAATACGCAGCCAAGATAAAATGTGCTCAGTGACCAAAGTAGCAAAGGCTTTCGCGTTGGTCACTGACACGTACAAATAATTGACACGACGCATCAGTCAATTACAATAGAGATCAAAGAAAAAAAACTGACGAAAATAGAATAAAAGTTTGATAGATAAACTATATACAGATTATACAGAAGCTTGAGTTTCTAAAAGGTGTAATTTATATTGGTTGAAGAAGTAAGTGTACGGCAGTCTTTTAATATTTGTTGGAAAAGTTTCCCAAAGTTCAGATGAAACAAAAGCAAAAGTAGAAATCCCATAGTTATTATTTGCTTTTGGCCTATGAAATTAAAAAAATTGAATCATATTACTGATACAGTTTTGCCTTCAGTAAACGATTTTTAACCTTAGTAAAGCTCAGTTTTGCACCGCAGATCTGACAACACCATCCTAAATGAAATACTTGAAATTCGTTAGTCTGGAGTAGGGAGTCTGCTGACCCTAGGGTAGATGTTTTAAAAACCTGAGTTTGGCCACGAAATATAATCTGTTTTGTTAATTCTATGTGTTTATTCCCTCCTAAGATTGGTTTGGCTGTGGACGACATTAAAGGTGTCAAGGAGCTGGCTGTACTCGAGCGACAAGCCATGTTGGTACGAAATTAGCCGATAGCTTTATGGAAACTCGACGTCCTACACGGCTCTCGTAGTATTTTACCCAGACCCTTTCCTCTCTCTTTTTCACTAGGATGACTTTGGATCGATTGTAAGAAATTTTCCATCATGATCTAAATTACCTGTAGTTCTCTGTTTGGTGTTTACATGGACGTTAATCTTAAAGAAAACTGACTGACTTTCTGACTTAATTGACTGACGGAAAAGCCAACAGATCATCGACTTACTGATTGACTGACTCATTAACTTTTTGAGAGACAGACTGACTGACTGAAAGACCGACTGACTGATAGATTGACTGTCTGAATGACTGACAGATTGACTCACTGACTGATTGACTGACTGCCTAACTGACTCACTGACTCACTGACTCGCTGACTGACTGACTGACTAATTGCTTGACTGACTGACTGACTGACTAACTGATGGACCGGTGACTGACTGATTGATTGTTTGATCGATTAATTTCGTTTTACAGAAATATGCAAAACGAGACAAGATCGAAGAATGAAGCTGGAAACCCGCTCATAGAGCGGCCTATAAAGACAATTCTCGCTTCCAATTCACGCAAATGTGTTAATTTGCTCTCGGCTGTGATGTACTACGTAATTATCATAATTCGTTTGGCTGACAGACTGTTTGTTTCTCTCTGACTCAAGGTTGATTTAGCAATGGATGTAGAGAGAGCTTTGCCCAGAGGACTTCGGAAACAGTTTGTACCAAAAGAGGAAGTCGTTCGACCAAACCAGTGTGAAGGTTTTAAAGGTTACTGGCACAGTCTGCCCATCTCTGCACGGGGGGTCCATGTAGCCTTGAAGCCGTTCAGGGTACGTGCGCATCGATCCATTAGCAACAAAAGAGGATCAAGTTGAGATACCTAATTCTGCTTATGGTTCCAATTTTTGTGGTTATTGCTTCTCACGTTTGGAAGATCTCCCTAAGGATCCGGAAATAACCAATCATGTGCTGCGAGCTCTTCCCCCTCAAATATCCTGTGGGGTGTAATTTTGCTCTCCACTGAAGCTTTCAAGTAACGTGCTGGACACATGTGAACGATTCAGGAGTAACAAGATATCTTGAGTATAGAAATTTATTATCCAAATACACTCCGTAGAGTACAAATAACGCCACAGACGAGTACAAATATCACGCGGTATTTGTACTCCAGAGATCCGGTTAGACATGTTTTCTCGCATCGCGCAAGGGAAGAATTGGATTGAAGTTACGTAAACGAAAATGGCGCACAATTCGAATCGTATTTCTGACGACGAAGAGTTGGAACGGCTGGCAAATATAGTTCCAGGTTTAAAAGATGAATCGAACGAAGAAAAAAAAGCTAGACGACCAGGAAATTTCTTCATTTATTAAAGTAATAGAAACAGCAACACGACAACGCGCCAATTCCGTTCCGCTTCGCATTCTTCTGTCACGCACTCTCCGTAAATAAATATCCACGAAATTCACCCGCTCTGAAATAACAATTTGACATTTTGGAAAATAAATAACTTATTACGCGTTTTGTTTTGTAGTATCACTAAGTATTTTTATTTGTTATTTGTATTTTGACGAGCCCTACGGGCTCGTCAAAATACGGCACAACTCGTAAAATACTCAGCGATACTACACAACAAAACGTCTAATAAGATGTATAACTTGAGAGGGATTAACTGTAGAATAAGGCCTACAGAGTGTGCTTTGATTAAGGCAACTGGTCAAGTCACCCGAGAGTCATCTCGCCAATAGTCATTTCGCCCGGAACTTGGGTCACCTCGCCCGAAATTTTTAGTGAAGTCGCCCGAAAGAAAGTTAAGTCGCCCGAAGATTAACTATGGTAAAGTAAATAACATAGCAAGCACAACAGCCAATCTATGAGAATACAAAATAAGCACGGGGTCGCTGCCTGAAGCGCAAGAAAACACCATTGATCATGTCGCGATTTGTTTTAGTTTTGAGCCCGATTGGTTGAGAATTTCCGCGAGTTTTCTGGGCCAATCACAGAGCGAAGATAAGCAGAACCAAAGTAATCCCACATTACTTTTGACATTCAATAAACATTCAAATTTCTTCTCGAATAACTCACTCCCCACCCTTGATTCCCCCTCGATGAGTGGTTAAATTCACCTTTGGTAATTTTTTGCATGGTAATTGTCGACGCACGAAAATGGCTGATTGACTGGAATAGTTGGAGTATTTAAGATTTTTGTCATTAGCGTCGTAGTGGCTGTTATCGCAAAAACGCTTAATTTTCTTTTATGCTTTCTACAAGGAGACTTGTACTTGCTGTCTTAGGTATTTGGCTATTAACTTTAACTTCTGACTTTTGATTTTCATTTGCTGTTTTTTGTTGTAGACTTCCCTTGAAGTGTTGTCTGACCGAACGGATGAACTTCAAGAAACTGTGAAAACAATGCAGTGTAAGCAGGAGGAGATGCACAAGATGCTGGTGGGTATCGTGAAGAAACGGGACGCCACCGTCAAAGAAGACGACGACGATTAAGACGATCAGCTTTTTTAGTCACGTGACTTAATGAAATCGCCGGTCGTTAGAATAGAAAATGTGCGGGCTCACCCACGACCCGTGTGCAATTGCTGATCATTAGAAAAGTGACAATATTCACTTAAAGTAGTATTCTTATATTACACACATGGCTTTTGCGCTTAGTGACTAAATTTAGAGTGAATTAGGATTGTATTTATCGGATAAATGATTAGTCTTTACAGTGTTGTTGTCACACAATAACTCGTTCGCGTCTGAAGCTGTTATAGTAAGTAGTGATGTTTGTCTTGCTTCATTCGCCTTGAGATCCTTATAAACTTTGTTGGAAGAAAAAAATTGTTTTTTTTAATAAAGTTGGTTTACTTTTCTATATGTTTAACCTCTAATAAGTTGTGCCGCATCGAGGACCAACTCACCGACGCTTTTACTCGATCTTACACCTCGGCGAGTTGGCGTTGGCGTGTTGAGCCGTCGGCGACTTGACTGGATTCCGTTCTAAAAGATGTCGTCAATGCTATGGTCTAGTCAAACAAGGCTGAACTATCTAAAAACTGTACACGACTTCGTTCGCTGTTTTAGGTATGAAAAAGGAGATGAATAGGTTTGATTTCTAGAATAAACTTAGTCCTCGAAAACTGTTTTTTTCTCCTTGAAAAGTCCTTGAAAAGTCCTTGAATTTTGTTTGGCTGAAGTTGTATGAACCATGTTATCCGTGCATTAGCGTGGACGTCGTTACGCAGTTTGCACGCAGTCTGAGCGGAGCGTTTCAAACCGAACATTAGTTTCAAAGGAGGCACACGTACATGAAGAATTAATTGAAAAAGTATTTTTGAAATTTTCACTGTTGTACTGATATTCGGCCACATCAGGAGCCCTGTCCGCATAAAATGTCCAGCGACTGAACAACAACCGACGTTGGGACCGTGTCAAGCTGACATGAGTTTTTTTAGCCGCCTTGTCAATGAGCATGCGCACTTAGTCTCGCGTCAGAGACTTGAAGCTAGTAAGCCGTCCATCGACGCATGCGCCATGCTCATCCGCGCGAGAAGGCGATTGAGACAGCACGGGCAGGTCAGCTGGAGACCTTTTTATCCTCTCAATCTTCTGGGCAAAGAAGTTGCAAAAGTCATTGGCAAGCTGGTCAGGGTTGCCCGGAGGGAAAGAGATATCTTTAGCACATACAACAAGGCCTTAGTAGTTTAGCATAGCTTCCTCTGGTTAGAGCTGTTTTGTTGAATATTACTAGTGTAATATTCACAACGGGCTTGATTCATGATGAATGTTGCATGGTATTTCTTCGCCTTAAAAACAATAAGGTCATGCGCAAATTTAGACTTGCGCCAGTTCCTCTCAGCCTTTCATCTAGCCCGTATGGCAGCCTTCATCTGATTGTTAAATCAGGGAACTCGCTTCCTGTTGACGACAGTCTTAGTTTTCAGAGGTGCGCGTTTGTCAAGAATGGCCTGGAGAGTGGAGTTGTAACAGCTGGTCATTTCATCCACAATTGTGAATTCCGTAATACACAGATCAGAATCTCTGAGATCTGCACGTAAAGCATCTGAATGGGAATGTTTCAACTGCAAGTAGTAAACTTTATGGCAGTTAGTTGTGGTAGCTCCTTCGCGTAAGGGTGAAGGACTGAAATACCATGTAATTATAAATGCTGATTAGAAATATATTACCTGTATGTAGCCACCTCCTTCAACTCTTGTGTAGCCCTAACGTGTTTAACTTGTTTCTTTTTCACGATTTTATTGTGATTGATAGTATGATGCAATGTTGTGACGCAAACAACAAAGTTTTTAAACAGAAGCATGATACAGTAAATGGCTTGAACCCGGGGCTAACATGTGAAAGTGTAGTGTGATCGTCCGGGTGAGTGTAGTCCTGAGAAGGACTGTTGTCGGTGGTAGTGACTGATGTTTCGACAACCTGTGCGGAAGTCATCATCAGAGTCAAGTGAATAGTTGTTGTCAATAGAATGTTCTTATTTCAGTTCGTGTAAAAGGATCGGTCAGTTTTGCCGTGATGTTATTGGCTGCAAGACTCAAGAGGCGTAAGTCGGTCGTGATTGATCTGCTTCGATCCGTCGGTAAAGTTAGGTCGATCCGTTCGGTAAAGTTAGGTCGTTCTGTTCATTTGCCCGACATCAACTTACTTTCAGTACAACGGTAAACACTACAAACAGTTACACGGCACAGCCATGGAGTCCCCAGTTTCTGTTGTTATAGCAGAAATTCTGATGCAGAATGGAGGAGCGCACCCTTTCGACTTGCCGACAAACGATACCGTTTTGGTTACGTTACGTTGACGACACCTTCACCACCGTACGAAAAGACGAAATCGACGCATTCCACCACCACCTTAACGGACAAAACACTGACATACAGTTTATCAGAGAAATCGAAGAAAATGGCAAACTTCCTTTTCTAGACTGTCTGGTAAGCCGTAACGACAACTCACTACGGAGGAAAGTTTACAGGAAACCGACACACACCTACGGATTCCTAGACGAGTCATCCTACAACCCTACACCACACAAAGCCACAACTATCAAAACTCTACCACGGCGCGCGCAACTAGTATGCGACTCGACAGACAGCTTATCCGACCAGAACAAATACCTTCACAGTGTATTTTCAAAGAAAAACTACAACGACGACTTCATCCGACGAAACACTCACCGACCCACTACCACTACCGAAACAAACGAAACCGCAACTCTTACGACTACAGCAACCATACCGTACATAAAAGGCATGTCTGAGAACATCTCGCGCATCTTACTACCCTCAGCCTCAATATCCGCGTCGCCCATAAACCTATCACCACACCACGTCAGTTACTAACCAACGTTAAATACAAGGACGACCCGAGGAACAGACAGGAAGTCATTTATCAGATCAATTGCTCCGACTGCCGAGCCACCTACATCGAAGAGACCGGCAGAAACCTCGCAACAAGACTGACTGAACGCAGACGGGTGACGAGGAAAGGTGATGTCAACAATCACATTCCTGAACATCATCGACTTACGAACCACAATACTGACTGGGACTCTCCGCAATGCCTAACTTACAGCACTAACTACTTTCAACGACTGACTCTGGAAAGCTGGTTTACTAACTTACAACAGACTCCCCTAAACAGATGTCAACACTACCGGCCCCATACAAACGACTCATTCACGACATAAACATTACAAACAAACCGAACAGAACGACCTAACTTTACCGACGGATCGAAACAGACCAATCACGACCTTCTTACGCCTCTTGAGTCTTACAGCCAATAAAATCACGACAAAACTGACCAATCCTTTTACACGAACTGAAATAAGAACATTCTACTGACAACAACTATTCACTTGACTCTGATGATGACTTCCGCACAGGTTGTCGAAACGTCAGTCACTACCACCAACAACAGTCCTTCTCAGGACTACACTCAGCTGGACGATCACACTACACTTTCAGAAGCATGATACTAAGATTTCGAGACCATATGACTACCATGCTCATAAACGAATTTACGTGCTGTAGTTTTGTTTCGTGCACCGAAGGCCTCTCCAAAGTAAAAACCAAAGCCTCTAAAAGACTGAATGATGTAGTTTACTTACGTGACGTTATCAAGTTCACCTAGGCGATGAGATTATGATGTCATTAAGATATTTAACCAATCGTACAATTGTGGCCGATATCCATCTGCAAGGAAGATCGCAAAAGTAAGTCCTACTTTTAAGGGGAGGGGGGGTCAAAGGCTGAATGCGATAATTACAGACCAATATCTGTGCTTCCGTGTATTTCTAAGATAAATGAATCTCTTACAAACAAGACTCTTGTTAATTATGCACACCAAGCTGGTCTGATCAAACAACACCAATTCGCCTTTATGAATCATTCATCAACTATGGTTGCCTTAATTCGAGCTGTAGGTTCGTGGAAAACGGCTATTGACAGATCTGAAAAGTAGTATGTGCGTTTTTGGATTTAAGGAAAGCCTTCGGCGTAGTAGATCGTAATGTCTTGCTACAGAAGCTAGCTCAACATGGTGTGACTAGCAAGGAATATGAGTGGTTTGAAAGCTACCTTTCTGGAGGACTCCAGTTTGTCTCATGAGATGAAATTGATTCCGAACAATTGACGATTACCCATGGAATACCGCAAGGGTCCGTGCTAGGCCCGACTCTATTTAATATTCATAAAGATAGCATTTCAGACGTTTGTGATAGCTGTGATATTGTATTGTACGCCGACGATACAGAAATTCACACCAGCTCTAAAGATGTTAAAATTGCTGAACAGTATGTAAATGAAGATCTTGGAAGAGTTACTGATCGGCTCAGTGCTGATGGTCTTATCTGCAATCACAAGAAATCCGAAGCAATCCTGATTGGATAAAAACACGCAGTGATAAATACTCCAGACTTACAAATCATTATGGATGGGAGGCTTCTAAAACAGTGTGAAGACTTCAAAATATTTAGGTGTTCATATCGATAATACTCTTAGCTGGAATAAGCATATTACATGTTTGGCCTCTAGGATATATCCCAAACTTATGATGTTAAATAGAATTGCACCCTTTCTCAGTGAAAGGGTGCTTTTAAATATCTATAAACAAACGATATTACCCATAGTAGACTATGATTGTATCGTATGGGGGGACTGTGAACAAACGATGTTACCCATAGTAGACTATGGTTGTATCGTATGGGGGGACTGTGAACAAACGATATTACCCATAGTAGACTAGGGTTGTATC